TGGATTTGATTCAACGGCTTCTTGCAGAACCTCATCAATATCCATTAATGGTCGCTCGGAGCCCTTCTTCCTTTCCAACGTCGTATCTCCACTACTAATTTTTTCAAATCAACGCCGCGCAGTGTGCTGGTCAAGGAAACCTTTCTATTACTTCATAATTTCATGAATTGCTGAGATATTTTTTTCCAGCAATGCCTTCAAATTACGAGAATTTCTAGGATACTGCCATGTTTCTTCTTTGAAACAAATAACTAAACTACGGGTTTTTTTTGAAGAAGTCGAACGGGACTAAACAAGCTTAGAGAATGCTCTAAAGGGATTGTTAAGTATTGGTGAGGATTAAAATATTTACAGTCCTTTGAAATCTTAAATTTGATAAAACGGTCATTTTTTTTTATACACCCTATTAACATGCACCTATTACCACAGCCATACATGTGGATAAAATATGTGATTTTATGATGATTTATATTTCACTAAATTTTAATATTTTTTTTCTGATAAAAATTCCATTTAAACGCCTAAAAATTCGCTATAAAACGAAAAAACTCTTTAAATCAGTGATAAAAAACCTGAAAGTTTTTAAGGGAACGAAAAAGGCTCATTTGGGATGGAAACAAGGGACCACAGGTAGGTCCCTGGAACGACCTAACTCAAGGGCCTTTTGATTTCAAGCCGCCTCTCATGGGCCTTTGTTCTACAAAAATCTCACAATAAAACGAAATTCGGTCCCAAGAAGCATTATCTACCGTTCGGCCGCGAAATAGATTGGACGAAACATTCAGATGAACACATATTTGGCTTATCAATATCTTATCAATACCAGTGAGGTTCACACGATGACTGAGAAGAGTCAAATCAAATATATGGTTTTCAGTATGTGGGGATTTACTGTTCTTTAGTCGATTAAAACAAATTTTTTTTATGATGCAGTCGAAATCCTAAGGTAATCCACTGATTTGATGTGTATGGTTTCCCTACAAGTATTGTAATTTATGAGAATTTTACAACCTCTGATCTCCCAAAATGTATCTATAGGATTCGTCTCTATTCTAAAACGTGAAACCATTTTGATAGAGGTTTCTATCTTTTCAGGTAGTATAATGTTTTCAGTCTGTATGCAAGTTGTATGAAGATCATTGCATTTAAATATTGTATTGCAGAGCACATTGTATTTAAATATTATATTGCAGAACACATTGTATTTAAATATTATATCGCAGAGCACGTTGTATTTAAACTGTTATTAATATTCTGTTTTATAATTAATACAAAGATGCTCTCAGTGAGTATATTTTTTTTCCTTTGGTCATTATATGTTAACTCGAACGTAAAAAACCCCTTCAGATCTTATTTTAGGACAATCATTATCAAATATTTTGTTCTTAGAATTTGGACTCGTCAAATTCTTCATCATTGATTTTATCAATATGGTACGTACATACTGTTGTGCTATTGTTGCGTGCATATTCATAGTCAACCTGCCTCAATGCTTTATTTTTAAATATTTATCTGTTACTTTTGGTCTTCCTTTAATGTAACCAGTGACGTTTCTCATCCATAAAGAACAGTAGAAAAGATAATTTTATTTGATTAAGGATATTCAAGCATCCTTTAACCTCGCTGTTATTTCTCTAAATTCAGTTGTTTTTTTTTTAGTTATTGTTTGTTTTAACTACTTAAATTTAAGGTATGTATTCAAATATGTTCCCAATCATATTAACGTAATAATAATAGTTTTTCCGTGATCGAAATTAATTTTTATTGATAGTTTAAAATATCCTCCTTGTTTTAAAATGTAATTTTAGAGATATATACTTTTTAATGAAAAATTTAGACATCCGTATTTTTACATTTGAATTAAAAGCACATTTTATTATGTTCGGAAGAGGAGAAATAATTTAATTTAAAATTAATATTTATAGAAACTTAGATTAATGAAATATTAAAAAAAAAAAACATGGCTTGATTTAAACACGCTTCGATACAGAAACGCTTGTGTTGCGGCTTCATAATTTCATGAATACTCCTTTTGGGTTGTATATTTTTCACTTATTTTTCACAGTTAAGTTGTAAAACATTTTTACTGCTGGGAATATTAGTTTTTTAGACATTTTTAAAGTCGTAATAGCAGTTCCGGTCTTAGGGTGGGACAACGGGGCAATTGCCCAGGGACGGACGTCCGTTAGGGGCTTTGCCATTTGTTAAAAAAAAATACCTGAGTATTAATTTTAACATATTAATAAAGTAACGGTACTAGAAAAATGGTGAAATAAATAAAATTCTAATATATAATATTAAACAGCATAAGAAATAATTTTAATTCCTTCAGAGCGGAGGGAGATAAGAGGTCATTGCCCGGGGTGCGGCGAATGTCTAAGGCCGACACTTAACATGTATATTGTTTATTAAACTGTAAATTAAGGGATGAAACCTTTTTGGTTTTAAAAATAGTTTTAAGCAGTGTAGAGAAAGGATAAAATTAAATTGATTCAAGAAAATTAAAACAATTATTTTTTTAAACTCCGTTTCCAACGAAATGGACGTTTTTTTTTTGTTTAAAAATGTGTCAGCTATTTTTCTGTTTAATCTCGTTTATCCGGGTTGGCCCAGATTCGGTTTCAAGTGTCTATATAATATAAAGGGAATAAGTGACAAACGTTTTGACAAAAAAAAAAAGTTTCTATCCCTAATGTTGAGCTTTTCATGAAAATAATTGAAGCAATCAGTGTAATGTGATTCTAATTTTTTTTTATAATAAACCTCAACCTAACTAATATGGACTTAAATATTATTAAACGTAGTTAATATATATAAGCTTATAAGTTTTTCTATAAGCGTGGTAACTGTAGTACAGTTGAATGGTGATTAAAAAAAAAAAAATAACGAATAATAATTTATGACTTTGTTTTAAACGAAACATTGCTGAGTTTGTCTGCTCAATAAGCCCCTTTAAGTGGTTTGACAATATCTACTTTCGTTTGAAGTAAATTTTGTTTAGTTTGGATGGTTGAGAGTAGAAGAATAAAATGTGTACTTTTGGTGTGATTTGAAATAAACCAAGGAGTATTGACGATTTTACGAAGTATTTTGGAGTGTGTGGTTTGAATTTTGTTTATGTGCGTGTGTGTTTTGCGGAACCCCAAAGTTCTGCTCCGTATGTCCAAATAGATCTTAATACAGTGGTGTAGATTAGTCGCTTGTTCAGTAAGTTGAGTGGAAATCTGTAGTACAAAAGATGTGACAGTTGTTTGTATTGTCTGGTCTGTTCTTGTTCTTGTAATTTAGTGTGGATCTTCCAGGTGAGTTTTTTGTCCAAGTATAGTCCAAGATACCGTACATGTGTTTTTGAGGGAACTGGCTTATTGTCTATTGTCACAGCAGGACACGAGATCTTCCTCAGGGAGAAGCTAACATGAGTTGACTTGCTGGGATTGATTTAAATTCTCCATTTGTGAAACCATTTTTCAAGGTCCTGCAGGTGATTTTGAAGGGCTATTGAAGCTATAGTGGGATCTTTGTGAGAAGAATCGTCAGCAAAGGTATAGAGAATGGTGCTAGGGTTATATGAATTGCTTATATGAACTTTTTTTTAGATCTTGATGTCTACCACCTCCCTTTTAAAAATTTCCCTCTACTTAGGGGCATCCCGTATATGATATATTTTCTTATTGAGCCAAAACGAATAGAATTCTTTTACAGTACACCAAACTTCCGTATGACCGTTAATGTTTTCTCGTTCAGCGATAAAAACAAAATCGAAAATAAGAAAGGGTCATTACTATGGAGGAGCTTTGACGTCTATTAAAAACAGTTCAGAGAAGCGGCCATCATCCACAACATTTTACGGAATACCTAGGCCAGTTACCCTCGGATATAACGCATTTTTGATTACGATCCTCCGCGACTCCACGACGTCGGGAGACGGTCTTCGCCCGGTAGAACGTCGAAGGACATCCATCTGCCGCCTCACTGGCAGGTGCGGAGGACACAGCTGCCCTTCTTCGAGATGACTGGCGGAAATCTTCCAAGTCGGGAATTTCTTAATAGAAGAGGATAATCTTCCTGTCAAATGTTACCTTCTTTTTAAGTGGTATTAGAAGAACCTGATCTTGTTGTATATAATATATATATATTTATACCATTTATGTATAAATACATTGTGGATACATGAATATATACCCATAAACTGGAGCTACTATAAAATAGACATCATATTCTCTGTTTCGTTATTGTTTAGCGCGCTTTAAAATTATATTAAATAAAAAAAAAAATAAGAAGCTGATACAATAAATTTCCATTCCTATTAAAGTTGTATATTTTGACTGCTATAAAGATGTATATCATTCGCCCAACCAAGTCTCTTTATTTTTTTTTTCCTAACACGACTATCATAAGAATCACCTTATCAAAATGTAGTTTTATTTTTTTCATTCAGCTTTTCCGTGTTTAGCTATTATTCCTTCGAGACATTAACGTCAATAGTTTTGGATTAGATTATAAATACGTTTGCAAATAAAAACGATTTTTTTTTAAGTAGCACACGTTTAGCACCGGACTGGACTAATTTACATTTCATTATAAAAAAAAAAAAAACTTTTGAGACTTTTTTCTTAACTAATAAATTATTTCCAAACAAAATCGGTATAATTATATAACAATGGGGATTTTATGATTTGTAGAATAAGAAAAAAATATATACTTAATTGGCCAAGTTAGCACAAACTTCAATTAAGAATAGTAATAAAAAAAGAGATAAATGTAATAATTATAAAAATGTAGTTGTGTATCATTAATAAAAACAAATATGTTTAAAAACTTAAGAAATAAATGTTTAAAAATACCGGAACTATCTTAAATGATTACTTAAATTAAAAGTAGTATACATGATGAAATATAACTAATTAAATAGCACTTTCACTCATTTAATTTCTAATTAAAATTAAATATATTATTAAAAATATGCTAACAATAATATAATATATTATATAAATAATTACATTGGTCTGGAATGGGGTGCTGTCATGAGACGGGGACATTCTGCTTGGCAAACTGTCCACTTGATGTCGGCAAGTTTGAGCAAAACTGTAGGGGTAAGTCTGCGCAAAACAAATAATACATCAAACCCCCGCAGTATTATGCACTGCCATATATATCTATATATACTGTCAATACATCGACAACTATATATAATTATAATAATCAATAAATTATAATCTATCTATAATAGTTAACTTATAATTATTTGTTATATTTTACCGTACCGGATAACGAACATTTTTTACATTGTGCTCGATAATGTATTATAATCATATTTTTTCCTTATTAATCTACCATTATTTATATTTTTTAACAAACATCTTTTTACTATTTTAGTTTTATTATCACGCCAAGACATTCATATTTTACTTCATAAATAATTTAACATAAGTTCATTTATTTCATAAATGATGCAGGTCAAATATTTCTCTAATTATCAATGTATGTATATATATATTATAATCCATGAACATGACTTGGATTCAAATCTATTTAAACAAGTATTGTATGTTTTAACACATAACCGCCAGGTTTATCGCCAACACACAGAAGGTTCAGCTACCCACTTTTTATCGGATGGGTATAGGAGAGGCTCTCGATCGATTAATAAATACATAAAAATGTAAAATAAAAAAAAATCAAGATTTTAGACGACGAAAGTTGTTCGCGTACATTAAGCAAAAATAATATATATTACTCCAGCTATTTATATATTTTCAAAATAATTGTCACATTTACAAAATCATGTAAACAGGCGATTAGGTAAGCATACAGCTCTTTTTTATGAAAGGAGTTGGAATAATATTATGATTTTCGTAATCAATTTTATTTGTCTAGCTAAATTCAGTTTTAAAAAAATTAGCGGCAGTATATAATTGTTTAAAAAAAAAATTAAAATTAATTAGTTTAAAAAATGAAAGAATAATCTATTAATTTAGGCGAAAATATAAATACAAATTACTGCATCCATAATTTATTATTCAATTTTTTTAATAGACAAAAAACTGAAAAACAAAGTCGTTTGATGCTAATATTAATTAATTATTAATTTTTTTGCCAATATTTAGCACACTATAAAAACATTATTTTTTATTAAAATATATCCTTCAGTAGTTACAATAAGTATAATTACTTTTTAGTGGTGTGTCTGGGACGACAAGATTTTAGAAATTTTACAATAGCCCTAATATAGCTCTAGAAGCCTTTTTTCGGTCTTAAAACTACCCAAATATTTTATTATTAAAATTTTCTGAATCCTTTCGTAAATATATAAAAATATATAATTTTTAAAAAATATTTTGTTTTATTTAAAATAAAAATGCGTTGAGAAGCAGGCCTATTTTGAGGGGAGCAGTTTGGGCTGAAGCTGCGGGACCACATATCCGATGACACGCTACTTGAGTTTCAGAGGACGCGTTACACACCGCAGCTGTGCCAGGCTTGGGGGTGTTCTCATATATAATATAATGATATTATATATTATAAAAAAAGTTATATGAAAAAAATATAAGTACATAAATATAACTTTTACCCTAGTCTTCCTAAATATCCCGGCTATCGTGTACATAATTTGAGCTGCCCACAATATGTAGAATTGACAATTAGAAACAAATAAATATGTCAAACAAAAATAAAAAATTATTGATTTATCTGAATTGAACTTGAAATCTTTAACAACAAAACACTTCCCGAACTTGAATGAATTAAAAAAATACTAGAAAAAATTAGTAGTTTTTTTTCTGTAAGATTAATTGTGGAATGAATTTTTGAATAAACCCTCAATTTTCCCAACAATTTCATTATTATAAAGGTACAGATAAATTGTATATATTTTTTATTTGATTTAATTATTTTACTTACCTAATCTAATTGCTAAGACTAAAAAGATGGGGCCCAATTTTCAGGAAGAAATAGTTAAAATATGGAATAATTTATTTCAGTCAACAATAAATCCAGTTACCTTCGATAATATCTTATTATTATTATTATTATTATAAATAAGTAGTTTATTAAAAAAGGGAACCCTAATAGATTTTTTTCAGATATCGACGTAAGTATCGATTCCCATCTTAAAACAACCAATGAATCCGATGCTGTAATTATTTTTTATTTTTTCAAAAACTTAAATATTGAATAAAGTTATGCGAAAAATAGTTTGTTTTTTTCCGAAACCTCTCTTTTTTCAAGGAGTATAATGGAAGTATTATTAAAAAATATAATCATCGAAAGCTTTATTAAACGTTATTTTTACCTCGTTTTCGCATTAATTAGAGTTCATTTTAAACTGCAATAATCAGTGATATTTGGATAAACGGAGTTTAACTTTTCAGGTATACTAAACCTTTTTTGAATTCCTACAGTTTTCGATTCACGGGCGGATCTACGAGGGGAGAGGGACTTTGGGGCTGAAGCGCCCCCCAAAATGGTAAAATATAACCATGTTTTATGGAAAAAATATTTTATAAATATCTCTTAAAACGACTTTAGGAATCACTTAAACACCATTTCATACAAGTAGTTTGTTTGTTTCTTTTTTTTCCAAACTAATTATCATTATTTTCATGAAAAAAAAAAGCTTTCGGGCTAAAGCCCTCCAAAATTAAATCCTGAATCGGCTAGTGACTATCATTACTTTACAAAAAATACATTATTACTTCAGTGTTAAATTTAATCGTAATAAAATTAATGCTTTTTATTTTATAAATTTGTGCGAAATGGATATGCTAATATTTCATTATAAACTCCCAACATGCTTGAAGATCCGAAGCTGTCTAAATAAAAAATGGCTTGGGGTTTTGGAACTTGAAAAAATCATTGATACAATCGTATAACATTTTCTCAGCTATTTTTTTTTTTAAAGTTTATTAACGGTATTTTTTGTTTGATTTTTTTTTACAAGGCCACACACTTTCAGCACCTAATTTCGGCTAATTTAATTACTGCAATTAAATCAATTATATGATAATTCGCAATGATAAAATGCTAACATTGGCTCCTCATCACTCGTACGTATTATGCGGTTGATATAGGTAACGCTCAAAGGGATCATTGAGGGGCCCATGAGGCAGCCCTTAAGATATCCCTAAGGACGAAGGACCTTGATAAAGGAGAGGAGGCGACCCTGAAGGAGCAGACGGCGGCCTTGAAAGTTTGCCGCCCCATTTCCGAAAATAGCGCCCACCCCCCAACAGGTGGTTGCCGGGGGTTGTTTATTTCCTGTCCTCTCGCCCCCTCTCTTTCTCTCCCGTCTTTGTTTACTCCATTATTTCGTCAGTATTTGTACCCTCCTTTCGGTTTTTTTGTTTCCTTATCGTATACTGATATCAGTAGTGGATAAATGGAAAGAGCATCGGAGAGGTGGTGCGGACAGTGTATGCAAATTGAAAAATGGCAAATATATATATATATATATATATATATATATATATATATATATATATATATATATATATATATATATATATATATATATATATATATAATACGGTCGTAAAGATCTCTTTTCCGTCTCTTGAAAGCGTTTGATTTTGTTGAATGGGGTATCATACGAAAGAAAATAATACAATAAGTGACTAATCCCAATTTTGATCCTTAAATTCCTTCGAAAACTCTTATGGTTCTAAAGTCACCGATTCCAGACGGGATAAATTGTGTTTTAAAGATTTCGACATGATCATGAACACCATGTATATTTTCAAGCGAGCTATTGATTCCTTTGTTTTAGATACAAAAAAAGGTCGCGTTTTCGAGATAAATCGTCGTTCTTGTTTGTTTCATAGCTTTCAATCATATACTTATCACGCGTTTATGTTCTAAAAATTTAATGAACTTTTAATGGTTGGGGAAAGGATGGTTGGGGTGATCAGTCAGTAATAAGAAAGCTAAAATAAATAATAATATTTATTTTATTTGCCGACGTTTCGACTTGAAGTTCAGGCCTTCATCAGGTCGAAACGTCGGCAAATGTTTAAATAAATATATTTACTTATTTTCGCCTCCTTATTTCTGACTGATCACCCCAACCATCCTTCTCTTCATTATTCACGACAGTCAACCATTAACCCACAATTTAATGTTAGTCTTCGATGATCTAAAAGTCTATTAAACAGGCGAATGGAGGAGAATAAACTATAATCAAAATATAATATGTATCGATGTGTCCTTTAATAAAGTGAATTTTACAAGTAAATTGAACACAACTTCACAAGAGTTTTTCAACGGTTCTAAACCACAAGACATGCATGTACATATTATTTACACATAAACTTATGTTTTTTTTGTAGATACCACGTGAGCATGCACGCCATGCGGAATTATTGCGCATAAAAACTGATCAACGAGAACTCAACTGTTGTACTATAGCAGTAAATCAAGCGATATATTATAAAACAGAAACGATTCTAATTTGTTATTCAAACTCAATTACTGATATATTCCAGCTTACAAACAACATATTAATTCAATCCAACCTAGAAGAAGTATCATGCGCTGAATAAATAATACGAGAATAATTTACGACTTATTCGCGAAGGGGGGAGGTTGTTGAAGAGGTGGAAGAGGGGAGGGGCGCTCTAGTTTTCTCCATTTATGTAAATATCGAATTAAAAATTGTTTCTAAAGGCCTTGGCTATATACAGCCACGGCTTTCATGACACCGTTTTGGTAAAGTTATCAATATAATTTAACTTGTGCCGTTAATGAATCGGATCCGCAAGTTTCAACTGTCGCTTTAATTGATTTAAATTATCTCCGGAGACAGACCTGATCGTATCAGGGTGGCTATTTTTTTTTTTTTTCTTTTACCCAGTTTTGCTTTCTCTTGCGAAAAAAGAAGGGAAAAAGGCCAACGTGCCACGTGCCAACCTTTCTCTGCAAGTCGCATGCGGTCCGACGAAGAAAACATTGCAAAAGGCAATGGAGGAGGATTAAGGAAATAGTGTATCATAACAATACTACTGAGAATCTAACAGAAACCTCAACAAACTATGAAGTACATTACACACTTAGACTATTCTACAAACATTGAATACAATCTCATCAATAGGTACCCAAATCTTGC